TATATAGAGAAAATATTATGAACATGAGTGGTACAAATCTACACAAAGGTATGGATATTGAAACCTTAAAAAATTAAAACAGCAAACGTCATGAGAGAAAGTAATAATGAACAACGAAACAGCTATTTAAAAATTATAACTTCAAATTTTAAAAAGTTTGGAAAATTGCGAGTCTAGCGTTTACTACCCCGGTAATTACTTCCAATATTAGTGAATTTCAGTTATCGTTCTTGATTTATGACTTAATTTGTCGCTTGAGGGCGCTCCGTTGTCAAGTACGCTGATGCAGAACAAGAGGCCCAAGGGCCTTAACGGTCAAGAGTTAAGATATTATCAAGAGCCCCACCCTTACACCAGCACATGACCCAGGGGTCATGCAATTCACTACTCTGGAAGAAGCACTCTTCCTCATCATAACTATACACTAGCTTCTTTGCTTTTTAACCAGAAGCAGAAAAGAACATTTTCAGAGAAATTTTGCTTTTTCACTATATAATCAATAGAGCCCCCCCCCCCCCCTTTTTTTTCACCAGAACCCTTGACCCTGGGGCCATGAATTTCACAATTTTGGTAGAGTCACCCTTGCTTATCATAACTATGTATTCAATTTGTTTCAATAATACCCAAGAGTAGAGAAGAAGATTTTCAAAGAAATAATGCACTTTCACTATATGATCTGTATAGCCCCGCCCTAGCACCAGAATCCCTGACCCTGGGGCCATGAACTTCACAATTTTGGTAGAGTCTCCCTTGCTTATCATAACTATGTATACAATTTGTTTCAATAATACCCAGGAATTGAGAAGAAGATTTTTAAAGCATTAATGCATTTTCACTATATAATAAATAGAGCCCCGAGCTAACACCAGAACCCCTGATTCAGGGGCCATGAAATTCACAATTTTGGAAGAGGCATCCTTGCTTATCATAACTATGTATTTAATTTGTATCAATAATACCCAGGAGTAAAGAAGAAGATTTTCAAAGAAATAATGCACTTTCACTATATGATCTATATAGCCCCGCCCTAGCACCAGAACCCCTGACCCTGGGGCTATGAATTTCAAGATTTTGGTAGAGTCTCTCTTGCTTATCATAACTATGTATTTAGTTTCTTTAAATAACACGCAGGAGTAGAGAAGATTTTCAAGGAAATAATGCACTTTCACTATATGATCTGTATAGCCCCGCCCTAGCACCAGAACCCCTGACCCTGGGGCCATGAATTTCAAAAGTTTGGTAGAGTCACCCTTGCTTATCATAACTATGTATTCAATTTGTTTCAATAATACCCAGGAATTGAGAAGAAGATTTTTAAAGCATTAATGCATTTTCACTATATAATAAATAGAGCCCCGAGCTAACACCAGAACCCCTGATTCAGGGGCCATGAAATTCACAATTTTGGAAGAAGCATCCTTGCTTATAACTATGTATTTAATTTGTTTCAATAATACCCAGGAGTAGAGAAGAAGATTTTCAAAGAAATAATGCACTTTCACTATATGATCTATATAGCCCCGCCCTAGCACCAGAACCCTTGACCCTGGGGCTATGAATTTCACGATTTTGGTAGAGTCACCCTTGCTTATCACAACTATGTATTCAATTTGTTTCAATAATACCCAGGAGTTGAGAAGAAGATTTTCAAAGAAATAATGCACTTTCACTATATGATCTATATAGCCCCGCCCTAGCACCAAAACCCCTGACCCTGGGGCCATGAATTTCACAATTTTGGTAGAGGACTCAATGCTTATTACAATCATGTCAACAGTTTGACTGCTTGATGTCCAGGAGTAAAGAAGAAGATTTTTAAAGATTGCATTAATTTTGGTGGTTTTAGCCCCACCCCTCAGGCCCCAGGGGGGCAGGCACCATGAAATTCACAATTTTTGTCCCCCTTCACCCACAGATGCTATATGCCAAAATTGGTTGAAATTGGTTGAGCGGTTTCAGAGAAGAAGCTGAAAATGTTTAATGTTAACGCACGACGCACGATGGACGACGGACGACGCACGACGACGGACAAAAACGGATAGCAATAGGTCACCTGAGTGACTCAGGTGACCTAAAAAATGGAATCAAATTGATTAAACATCGAATTTGGCATTTTATTTTGGTTTAATTAATCTACTGAAAATAAAGGAATGTCTTCAAACTTCAAACTAAACATCTTCTTTCCTTGAAACCTAGCGATACAGTGGGTGTCAAATTTGATCGGGTTCAGGTTGCTCGAAGTTCCACACTTGTCATATGCGGATTTGGGCACGATTATAGTTTTACAGTTTGATTGCGTTATCAAAGATGCACAGGAGATTATAACAGACTTCAAAGAAAATTGGTCTTCGCGTTACACAACGCACTTCAAACAATCGTTTCCAAACAGCAGTTTTATTGAAACTCTAAATCATGAAGTCATGTTGGCGAGGAAATGCGGACTTATTCGAGTCATGCGATATTTTATTTGAGAACAACAGCATAGCCTATGTAACTCTTGATTGTGGTTATTTCAAGACACAGTTATATATCTAAGATTAATGGATTTATTTCCCAAAACCCTGGTGAAACATGGAAATTATCTTCTCAGAAAAAAAGAGTTTGTGATGCAACATGTGCAATGCAAGTAAGTATTTTTTTTTTAAACTAACAGTGAGGAAAATCTTTTTGATGTTAACCAAAAATAATGAGCAAGCTTTTTTCCATTAAGCTTTAAGTGCCATAATTTTTGGTCGTTTTCAAAATTATTTCAAAGTTGGGTGTAATTTTTTTCTTCCTGGAAATCATTCCTATGAATTAGGAGAATCCCATTTTATAAAATGGGTATAAATATTTATTTAAAGTACCAATTATAAAAGAAATATCTTGGCTTAGACTTTAAAAATGTCTTTTAGATTTAAGTAATTAAATTGTTTCATAATATTAAATTTTATGCTTATTCAGAGTTTAAAATACTGTGTAATATGCCTCTGCATTTAATTTTTCAGACAAGTTCTAGTTGCTGAAGATCGAGTTCTTTGGTCTTCTCAAAGACAAATAGTCGAGGTTTTCTTCTCCTGTCCAAACTTCAAAATTTAGTGGAAAAAGAGGAAAAAAAAGAGGAAAGAATTTTCTAAAATCACATCGAGCAGTGAATCTGGTGCCTTTTGTTGTGTTTTACCATCATAAAAGCTAGTGACAGTAGCGAAGTTAGAACTTTAGTCCTACATTGCTCATTACCTCTTGTAAACGAAGGGAATACTAGACCAGCTGATTGAGATTTAGAGTGGCGAGTACTATATGAGAAAACAACTGAAACCATCCAAAAGTAGAAGCACCACCAGTCCATATATCAAATTGATCAAGTTCAGAATTTTGAATGTGCGTGTCTGCCTTAATAACTGCTGTTTAAAAAGCAATTTAAAAAAAAAAAATCATTGGATGGAATGATAATTATAAAGAACTGATATTGTAACAACTTTTCTATTTACAAAGTTTGATCTTAAGTTTGTGTAATGTACAATGTAATTTATAAATTGTAAACATTAATCATATATATATTAACCTTTTTGCAAATTGGTCATTGTTGATAAACTTGAAAATTTTCATATTAAAACATTTAGTTTAGTATGTTGAAGAACATGACATATTTGTTAAATATGCAATTAAAAATATCATATTGCTGCTCATATAACGGTACAGTAAATCAAATGTTGCAGCTGCATCATTTTCTGCAGTTGAACAAAATCCTTTACATTCCTATCATTTATGATTTAGAAGGAGTCAAAGAACTTCATGAACTTGTAATTTATTTATGAAAGTTGGCAGTTTTAGGACATTGCTAGCAGAGACCAACATACTCTGACATGTTTATATAGTAATTATGTCCTCATGTAGCATAATATATTCTCTGTTGTTATATATAAGTATTTGACAAACAGTAAAAGGTAATAAACTAAATGAAAAAAAATGCTTATATAAAAAGAATCACCCAAATAGATAGTGATTGTTCATCATGTTTACTATATGAAAAAAGTAATACAAGAAAACTGGATGTACCTACTCAGGTTTAACAGCTATTTAAATAAAAACCAAAAAAATCTGGAATCATCAAAGTTGGGTACTTAATATACAGAATTTCGATCCCGATCAGAATTCTCTCCAAAGCTATTTCAAAGATATAAAATTAATTCCAGAGTAAACTTGGTACATTGAAAAGGAAAATTCATAATAATGTGATAAATGTAATTAAGAAAAAATTTAGAAAAAGTTAAATTTTACACACAATGCACTGAGATATAGGAAAAAATCTTGGCAAACTTCAAGCAATTTATTAAAATTTCTCAATAGTTTTCCTTTTCATTAAAAACTGCTAATTGATTTTTCCACACTTTTTAAACTGGAAAACTAATAATGAGCAGTTGTTTTTTTTTCCATGTGTAATAAGCAACATAATGTGTTTGCTGTTTTTAATAATACTGTTTTAAATTCCTAATGTTTGTGACATCCAAAATGTCTTGACATATAATTACAATGGTTACTATGGATACGACCTAGATATCAACTCCATGACAGCTAATACTAGAAGGATACAGACTCCTCTCAAAATAAAATAGGGTTAGATAATTTATGAAAAACAACAACACTTGTTACTTCTGTACTGAACTTTCTATTTTTTGGCTGACATTTTTGCCCATAAATGCCCGAATCTATTTATAGTAACATATCACAGCCTGGATGTGGCTTTTTGGAAAAATTATGATTTATTTTAATTACTACTGTATCAAGTAATAATATGAAAAAAATACTGGCAAAATATAAAAATTCGACTTACCACCGATTGCCTGATTCTTACGTGGACCTGTACTTAAGTTATGAACTATTCACGAAAGTGGTCGTAAGATCGTAAGATTGTCGTAAGTGAAAATCGATCGTCAGATTTTTCCTTCCTTGGTTACCGACAACTGCTCATGCGCAGTGCGCTGTGCGGGAAAAGTGAAAGTAGCAGACGATTGCGCAACATGAGCGACAGTACTAGGAAAAGTAATTGGAGTGCCGGAGAAATATCTCTCCTCGTGGATCTTGTATCAGAGAGGAAAGATGTTTTGAGAGGGAGATTTTCTCCGGCACTCACCTCAGCAGATAAGGCTGGGGCATGGGAGGCCATCGCTACAAGGTTTGCAAATTTTGTTTACAAATAATTCTATAAAAGTATGCAACAGTAGTAGATTGGTAATTAACATGCAAATATATCTAATAAAACATTTAATATCCGAGTCATTTTTCTCATATTCATAACATTAAGTTTCAATTAAACTTACATTTGCAGAGTTGTGGAAAAAAGGGGTGGTGGGTAGGGTAGAGGTATAAACATCATCGATGTCTAGGCCCTATATTTCTTATAATGAGTATTCATTTGTGATATGTAGGTATGTTGTTCATTTATAATTTCAACTATGTTGAATATTTTAATTAATTTTTAATTGAATTATTCAGCATAAATGCCATTGGTGGAAATGGACACACCACCAAAGAGGTTAAAAAAAGGCAGGACATCCAGTCTTCCACAAAGAAGAAGGAAGTGGAGAGGAAAAGAGTTGCAATGAAGACAGGTGGAGGCCCTCCCCCTGAGGACATCAAAGACTGGGAAAAAAGAGTATGTTTTAAATCTTAAAGGAGTGTTGGGGAAAAACGTTTTTTTTGCAATTGATTTAAAAGTTATCATTTAACTTGTAGCATACAAAATATTGATTGGCTGTCAAATTTGAAACATTACAAATAGTCTAATGATGTACATCAGTTGCCACAAAATGATATGAAAATTTTAAAGATATATTAATTAGCATTAAATAAATGAGCTTGGGTGATTGTTTTAGATAATTGAAATCATCTCGGATAAAGACCTGTATGGGATTGAGTGAGGGACAAACACTCCTGAGGTCTCAACAGGAACAAGTATAAACATTATACATATTATATAATTTCTTCGCCTTTTTATTTCACATGTACTCTTAAGTACAGTTTGATGAAATCAAGTAAATCATCAACCTATATAGACAAAAATTATCTTCAAATTTAATTGTACAGCAGGTTGAACTAATGAAATATTATTCCTAATTATTAGCACATGTATGTATTATCAACAGCATGACCATGAAGAGTTTATTTTCAAGTATATCAACATACAAAGTTACTTTCTGTTTTATAGAATTGTATAACTGTTAAGGCATATGTATATTATTTCCCATGCTATGTGAATAAAATGGAGATTTGAATTGCATGATTATTTTCAGTGCATAAAGCATGTAGTGAGAGTGCACGTCTCAGCAACATCTGCAGTACTAGTGCACAGGCAGTGATACCCAGGATATTGGCCACAGAGACTGAAGGTACAAGTTTATAGCTGTCCCAGCTAATTTGGAAGATCAGACAGTTTTTATTGTAGGATTGCAAGTTTATGTTTTATATATCTGTAAAATTTCGAGTGAATTTATAGATAAAAGAGGTTTAATTAAAAACAAGAAATACAATGCATTGTAGTTCATGGAAAAAAACTTTCCTTAAATTGTACATGTTTTTAAATTTGGGATAATGAATTCATTGCTATATTTGATATATTTATAGCTACCTGTAGCACTCCAACTTCAGCTGAGGGATCCACAGAGTTTGAGCCAGGAATTTGTATTATAATAATTCCTCGTTTTATGAGAAGATAGAGCTATATAAAAAATCTTTAATATATGAAATATATGGTTACTGTGTTGAAATATAAGCAATATTTGGGCGAGGGTAAGAAAACCTGATAGAGGGATCGGCTTGCCAAGCCCTCTATAACGTTTTTGACCAAATACTGCTTCTATTTCAAGAGAGTTATCGTGTATTTTGTTTATCCTGCTACATATGGTTTTACATATGATGTCTAGAACAAATTAGGCACATTCTATAGTGGAAACAATGATATGATGTAAACAATAATATATATAACATCCCAGTGTTTTTCAAATACATCAAAATTCACAAGACTATATTTAGCCATTTACCATGTTGACCGAAAAATTAATTTAAAAGCTTTGATTTATTAGGTTACCTTCATTAGGTCGATGCAAGAGGTGGTTGTGGGTTAAAAACATTAATTTTTATTGGTATTTAACCATGAAATAAAATTTGAAAACTGCTGCAGTTTTTTTTTACAAAATGTAGAGAATTAAAACATAAATTAAAAAAAAAAGAACATATATATGCATATATCTGCAGTAATTAAAATGTGTTTTTACAGTGGTCATTAATACACGTAAAACTTTGGAGGATCAGGAAGGCTCTAAAAGAAGCAAATGTAAGTAATAAAAAGTGTTTTATGTATATTTTTATTGATTTTGCTTCCCACTCTCTCTCCTATCTCTCTCTTTCTCTCTATTTATAAAATTCATACAGAAATGAATTTTAATTATACATACTTCTTTACTTATTTTATGAGTAGAAAAAATGATAACCTAAAATTATTGATTTTAACTTTAATTACCTTAATTCATTTCATTTCAGATGAGAAACAAAGCAGTAGAAAGCAGAAGCACTCAGGTGTGTTGATTTTATATGTCCATGACAATTACTTCTGGATATCTTGCAAACACTGACAATTTTGGCCTCCGACTCAAAATACATTCATAAACCTTATATGTTTTTTTTTATTGTCTTTTGAGTTATCTGAGTTATTTCAGAATTAAGGACATTTTAGAGGAAAAAATATTATAATAAATTATAATAAAATATTAGATTTTAATTACCTTCCTCTTAAAAGAGAGTTAAATTCAATTTGTGATTTGATTAAAACCGCTTTTATCTAAGCTTGTTTTACTGTTATTAGAAGTCTATATATTTTTTTAATTTAATCTTTTTTGCTTAAGTGTATTAACTAATTATTCTTAATTTTTAGTAGAAGATACATTTGAGCTTCTCGTCATTCAGAGGGAGATGTTGGAGATAATGAGGGAAGATGTTGCCATCAAGAGGAGAATGCTGGCGTCTTTGGAGGAGTTGGTGACTTTAAAGAAAATAAAACTAGATAGACACCTTGAAGAGCAGGCCAAAGGCCCAACATATTTTGAGTTGTAATGTATTTGCTTACATCTGTGGCTATTTTTTAGCTCACCTGAGCTGAAAGCTCTAGTTAGCTTTTCTGATCACATTTTGTTTATTGACCGTCCATCTGTAAACTTTTCATATTTTTGGCTTCTTCTCCAGAACCACTGGGCCAATTTCAAATCACAAAGCATCCTTGGGTAAAGGGGATTCAACTATAGTTAGATGGTATCTTTTAAATATTTTCAAGAACCACTTGGCCAGAAAAGTTGAAACTTATATGAAACATTTTTTTTACATAGTGGTCTGATAGGGGATTGATGTTTTACACAGGAATATTTAAGAAAAAAATTTCAAAAATCTTCTTCTCAAGAACAGCAAAGCCATGATTAGTCATATTAATATGAAAGCATCCCCAGGTAGTGTAGATTTAATTTGTTCGAATCATGACTCCCGGGTGGTTGGGTGGGGTCACAATTGGGTATCAAAGTTTAACATTGGAATATATAGGAAAAAATCTTATTGAGAACAGGAAAGCCACGGTTAGTCACATTGATATGGAAACATTCCCATCTAGTGTAGATTCAAATTTGTTCAAAAAATGAAGCCCAGGGTAGGGTGGGGTCACAATGCACTATTAGAGTTTAACATGTCGATGTATAGGAAAAAAAAATCTCTAAAATCTTTTTCTCCAGAACAGCAAAGCAATGTTTCGTAACATTAATATAGAAGTACCTTGAGGTATTGTAGATTCAAGTTTAATCAAATCATGACCCTGAGGGGTAGGGTGGGGTTAAATCTATAATAGTCATGACACCTGGGGATAGGGTGGGGTCACATTCAGGATTAATGTTTATATATTAGAAAAAATCTGCTAATGAAGAACAGCAAGGCCATATTGACTAAGCTGAGCGTTGTGGCCCATGGGCCATGAGGATCAACTCTTCTGATCAAAGTGTTTAGCGTTCATCTTTTTGTCTTTTGTGTGTCATCTGTTTACCTATCACATTAATGGTTATTTGTTTAATGTTACCTGACTGACCTTAATTCTGTGCTCCAACACAAAACATGTTTACATGTTACACGTAAAGCATACCCCGTAAATATATGATATCTGAACTTCTCTCTAGTTATTATCCATTTTTACAGCTTTTGGGTAGATTGTGTAAAAAAGAGATATCATATATAGTAATCATTCCCAAGTTAAGCAATTTTTTTTGCTAAAGCATGTTTACTTCTGTAATATGGCCGGGTCATATTAGTTATGATTTTACTGATGCATCCCCATGTAAAAAGTTTGGTTACATTTTGATCCCTGGAGCTAATGTTATGGGCCACAGTATAGGTTAAGTGTAACAATTTTTAATTTTTATGAGAATGAATTGGAAAAACTTTGTTTTATCTTCTGATGAGAAAAGCAAGACTGTGATGATTCATGCTAGTGTTGGGGCTCTTGTTTATCTTCCTTTGAAATTTCATCCTACTCTGTGCGGTGAAATATATTTATTTATAACAAATTTCCTTCAAATAGTCATTTTCAATCAATCTCCATTTTTTCTCAGTTAGTTCATTTTAATACATAAGGAATTTATGATGCTGCTGCAAAGAAATATTTATTTTACAAAAATAAAGTTCCCAATTTCATTGGTTTATATAATATAATATAGTAGAGTCACATGTATTACATGTTTTTCAAATGGATATACAAGAATCCAGTCTAAACACAAAGCTTTACATGTATGTGCAACATACAGTAAACACAGCATTTTTTAAAATTTCTATACAATTTTTTATCCTTGATTTAAATGAAATTTCCATTTTTACATAAAATAGAAATTTGTCATTTGTTCTAACACTTTTCAACTTTGTTAATTAAATTTTTATTTTAAAATAACCCTGTTAATATGTGAGTAAACAAAAAATGTAGCATATTTTTCTTCTTGTTATCAAGTACTTGTACACAGATAAATTAATTCAAAATTATGTGTAAGAGTTTGTCATTTTTCCCAAACTCTGCCACATAAGAAACTTATTCATCTTTTTGTTTAGTGGTGGTAAGGATGCACTAAGCCAGCATATGTCTTGTCTACTAGACAGTTACATAATAATTGAATCCGTAGAATTTTTAAAGATAATAATGATACCTGTGTGTATATATGAGGATAACCTACTATTGAGCTACCACTGAACAAAAAGATGAACAAGTCTTTCACGTTGCAGTGTATCATCACGATCTTGTCCCAGGCAGACAGTGTCCTCCTCAGAATTTATGTCAACTATATCACCCCCCAGGAGTCACAAAAGGAACTTTCCTCTCAATGCACATGTTGTGCAATTTCATTGCAACACTTATCACCTTAATACACTTTTCAGGGCTGAATAGCAAACACCCTCCAGTTTTGTGCAAGCACCTGAAAAAAAAAGATCATATTTAGCCTCATTCAATATTAATTTTGTGATTGATTGGTTGATCGATTATTGTTGTTTTACGCCTATTCGGCAATATTTCAGCCATATTTCTGCGGTATGAATTTAAATACTGTATGAACGGTTTGAAAGTTTTTGAGTTTCTCTGGCTATTAATTTTGTGTAAATTGCTAGAAAACAATAATACAGGTGATATTGAATGCAACTTTTACAAGATAAAAACAATGGATGATGCTATACATGTACCTGAAACGCGATTTGAGGACGCCAAAGGCCCTTTCTACAACGACCCTTGTCTGTCCGTGGGCCTTATTATAGCGCTCCTCTGCCTCTGTTTGTGGATGCAGCTTTGGAGTCATTAAGTACGACTTTAAGGGGTATCCGGAATCACCAACCAACCAGCAGTTGTCTAGCCCCTCCAAAACCTCACGCAGCTTGCTATTGTTAAAGATGAAACTATCATAAAAGGATCGTGGCCACTTACACACCATGTTCGTGAATCTGTAATATTCATATTGTAACACAATTGGAACTTACGTTATATATAAACAAACTATATATTAACTTTTAATAGATGTTGTGTTTCGTGTATTTGATTAATAAGGACATATGTGTATAAGGCATAATAATCCTTATATGTCCTTGAGAGCCATTTAGGTTCTTATGCATTCTTTTTCTATATACCAATTTTGTGTTTGATGTAGTTCAATATTGATGTAAATATTAATGTGAAATATTATGGATCAGCGTGACATGTCAGCTTGACATTGATGAAATACTATAATTGAACGAAAGACCATTATCTTAATATTTATGAGGTCAGCATCCCATTATTGGTATCTAATAAGTAAATGTATTGGGAAATGACTTGATAACATCAATTGACCACATTCAATATTGTAATTGAACACTTGATTAATTCTGAAAGAAAATCGAACGAGGCAATTTCATAAATGTACGGAATAATTTAGAAACTTTCCAATAATAATGCCATGATCTGACGATTGGAAATATTAATATATATTCTGAGACTGGACGGGCGGAGGACAGATTAAGAAATTGAGATGAGAGACACACACAGAAACTAACCACTATACGGACTTTTGAACTTTCTGCCTCCCCTGTACTAGTAAGGCTTCAAGTGAATTGATACTAGTGATTGTAAACAGTACTAGTGATTTGTACTAAGGACTCTTACTTAGAAGCTGTGCTGACAATAATTTGTTTTAACTGTTCATCTACATGACGTCTATTGTACAATTGTGACTTAATAAATATATATAACCGTATCCAAGTCGTTGTGTTATAGACGTTCATTTGGTACCGTGACCAGTATTTGCTCTTCGAACGGGTACAGCTAGCCTTGAAAACTACAACTTCTACTCCGTTCTGTAAGTATTTCTTTTCTCTGCCACAATCTCTTGTAAAAATGTCTGAGCAAGAATTTATGACTGCTGTAAAAGGGCTTTCAATAAAGATGGACAATTTAAATCAAAATTTAGGTACTAACCAAATAACAACTTTTGATGGGGATCCTAAATTATTTAAGAGATGGATTAAAGCGATTAAAAAACATGCTTTTTTGGAGGGGATTCCTACTGAAAATGTAAAAATGATAGCTTTCAAAACTAGTACAAGGGCGGTAAGTGATTTTATCCAAAGATATTTTAAAACAAATCAGCGGGTAGAATGGGACACCCTAAAAGCAATACTCTCCATGAGATTTGCGGAAATAACAGACTCACAGCATGCTTTTATGCTGCTGAGGCAAGCAAGAAAAATCCGAAAATGTTTAGATCTTTGCTGAACGGTTGCTCTCTATAGCAGAAGAAGCATATCAAGGTACATAAGACATGAGGATAACGGAAAACCAACCTGTTGGGTTCTTTGTCGATGGCTTATACTCGGGCAGATTAAAATTGAAGGTCATGAGAGATAATCCTGCTACTATGCAAGATACAATTAATTCTGCCCCAGCTGAATTCAACAGAGATTTCAGCTAAGAACTGGTCGATATTACTCTGCCCCGGTAAATTACACGGGAGAACCAATGGAGGTTGATCATTATAGGTATAGAAGGGGAACCAGAAAAGACCATGACGAGCGACAAAAACCAAGACAGATTGTAAGAAAACATTTCCCCCAAAGAAAGTTTTAGCGGTCGAGACAAAACGACCTCGTAATGATGTAGTATGTTGGACCTGTAACAAAAGAGGACATTACAGTCCTGAATGCCCGACTAAAAAGAAAAAAATTGAAGATATTAATGCACTGCCAGCAGGTGTTGAAGAAGAAAATTGGGAAGAGTTAAACTAAGAAGCTCCGTCCAAAACGGGACCTTTGGGGGGGGGGGGGAGCTATTTAAAGAAAAAGAAAATAACAAAAAAAGAAGAAAATTTTTGAAAATGTTCAAAATCTCCCCACTGTGACTGTTAATTCAATAGAAAATTCAAATTCATGTATTATAAAAATTGGGAAAAGAAGATTAAAACCTCTTATAGATACAGGCGCCGCTGTTTTATTGGTTAGTTCAAATGTTTATTGGTCCCTTTCTAATCCTTTTAAACTTTCAAAACCAAAAGTGAATTTGAAGTCTGTCAATGGCGTTGATTTAAAAATTGGAGGTTGTACTCAAATTGAATTTGTTATAGGAGGTCTCACAATGTCTCATCAATTCTATGTTGTTCAAAATATAAACAGGTCTTTTATTTTGGGTAGAGACTGGTTAGTCCAAAATGGTGTCAGACTTTATTTTGATCTTGGCAGTTTACGTATTGGTAAAACATATGTTCCAGTGGTTGAAGATGTTCACATTGCATCAATTTTGAGAGCTTCAAAGAAAACTATTTTAAAACCTCAATCAGCAACAGTTTGTTTTGCAGAACATAAAGATCACGCAAATTTTCAAGGCAAAATTGTTGAAAGAAATGCATTAGACAAACGTTTCATTAGTGACGAACCAGGTCTTATGATAGGGAACATAATTGCAAAAACAAAATCATCACGTAAAATACCAGTTTTAGTCGTGAACAATACCAATAAAACCTACAAACTCAAGAGAGGATACCACATCAGTCGAATAAATGTTGTAGATGATCAATCAATTAACATTTCGGTTCTTGACAAAAATAAAGACAAAGAAATAAATGAGTTAAAAGCAGAACTCAATGTTTCCCCAGAGCGCAGAGGAATGATTGAAAAACTTTGCATGCAAAATCAAGATCTATTTCTTAAAACAGATGCAGATTTAGGGCATATTAATACGATCAAAATGAAAATAGATACAGGTGACCATTTACCAATTAAAATGAAACCGTATCGAACTCCGTTGAATAAACGAGTGATCGTAGATAAAGCAATTGATGAAATGATAAGCGCAAACATTGTGCGGCGTTCAAAATCACCTTGGAGTTTTCCTATCGTGGTGGTAGATAAGAAAGATGGAACAAAACGTTTCTGTGTAAACTTTAGACAACTAGATAAGATCACAAAAACAAATTCGTGGCCCTTGCCCTTGATTGACGATTTATTAGATTAGTTAGGAAAAACAAAGTATTTTACATCATTGGATTTAAAGTCGGGATATTGGCAAGTACTTATGGATGAAGAAGATAAAGAGAAAACAGCTTTCGTGTGTCATAGAGGTTTATTTGAATTTAATGTAATGCCTTTTGGCCTTTGCAATGCTCCACAAATATTTTCAGAACTCATGAGCACAGTACTAGCAGGACTAGAATCATTTGTCTTAGCTTATTTAGACGACATTTTGATCTTTTCAGAAACCATTCAAGATCATGAAAAACATATTCAAATCGTATTTGAACGACTTAGAGAACACGGATTAAAATTGAAAGCCAAAAAGTGCAGTTTTGCTCAAGAGAAAACTCAGTATTTAGGGTTCATTATTGATAAAGAAGGAATAAGACCTGATCCAAATAAAGTAGCTGCGATTCGCACTTTACCTTCACCGAGCACTGTAAAAGAAATACGCAGTTTTATCGGTATGTGTAGTTATTACCGTCGATTCATACCAAATTTTTCAAAGATTGCAGAACCCTTGGTATCATTAACAAAAAAATATGCAAGATTCAAATGGAATGACGATTGTCAACAAGCTTTCGATTTTATTAAAAGAGAGTCTAACTGAAGTGCCACTTTTATCAATACCCGATCCAAATAAAGAGTATATTCTCTACACGGATGCTTCTGACACAGCAATAGGCGCGTGTTTAGCCCAACCACTAGATGGAAACGAACAGGAAAATGAAGTGAAAATATTGGGTATTAGAAATGAAAAACCTGTTCGTTATCTTTCACACAAACTAAGTGACACACGAACTCGATGGTCTACAGTAGAAAAAAAAAACAAAGCATTTGCAATTCACTTTGCCGTACAGAAATTTGATCACTTTGCATAATGCTAAATTTGTCATTCGAACTGATCACAAACCATTAAAATACTTGTTAGAAGCTCCAATGAAAAACAAGAAAATCCAGTTATGGCTTTAGGTATCGATACCTATTGCCAAATACAATTGCCAAATAGAATATATTCCGGGAACTGAAAATACTTGCGCAGCTTACTATCTAGAACGCCACAAACAAATGTGTTAATTCCATCTGAAAATGAAATTAAAAATGAACAAAATGATCCGGACGTGCATGAGAACTCTTCAGAAATCAATTTCATCAATTCAAACGCGATAAATCCCAAAGATTATGTCCGATTTGACATAGATGAGCTTGACATTCCTTTTAAACCTCAAATCAAATTAAGTGAAAACACCCAAGTAAATGTAGTTGAAGAACAATCTAAAGATTCTGTAATAAATCGGATTGTCCGTCAATTGCAAAAGGGTACAGCAAAGAAATCAGTAAGTGACAAACATCTCATTATTGATGAAGTGTTATACTATTTGTCAAATGCCGATAACGATCCGATCATAAGACTCTATGTGCCAGCGCATTATCGATCCCCTGTAATTAAACAGTATTACGATGATAATGGTCATTTGGGAATCGACAAAACATTTGATGCGATCAGACAAAAGTATCACTGGCCTAATTTGTATAAAGAGTTGTATGACTATGTTAGTAAGTGTGTAACGTGTGAAACAAGTAACCTTATAAAGATAAAGCCGTCTATTCAAGAAACAGACGTTCCGCCATTTCCATTTGCGAAAATTGGTTTAGATTTATCAGGTCCGTATCCGAAGTCATTATCGGGAAACAAATGTATTGTCGGATTTGTAGATCTTTACTCTGGCTGGCCTGAAGCTTTTGCAGTCCCAGATAAAACCGCGAGACTATCGCGCATTTGATCATTGAGGAAATATTTCCAAGATTTGGAGTTCCCTTAGAAATTATAACTGACAATGGCACGGAAAATGAAAATAAGGTAGTTAAAGAAACATTGAAAGAATTAAACATCTCGCATGTAAAAACATCATACTACCATCATCAAAGTAATGCAAAAGTTAAAAGATTCCCTCGAA